CTCACCAGGACTTTTGTCTCTTGAGATCAGTGTGGATCTATTATATCATATTCCTAGCATTGAGGAAAGCGCTTAATTGTTCTCCTTGGTGTGAGGTAGGAATGGACTGCATGTGTTAGGTAATTTACAATATGTCAATGGGAGAGTATATCCTATGTGATGATAATGATGTCGTAATAGTGACTTTACTGAACATATACTATATGTACTGGATACTTGCTAAAACACATTATGCACTTTATTTCATTTAATTTTTGACAGTCATTTAGTTATTTTTCAGTATAATTATTTTCAGTTTGCAGCTATGAAAATGAGTTTAGGGTTTAAAAAGCTTATTTACATTTGTACAGCTACAAGGTAGAATGTGGTGCACCCAGGTGGAAATAGGAAAAGTCTGTATTGTTTTCTATTTGGAAAGAACAACATTTGGCTTTGCAACCTTGCATTTCACCTTCTGACCTACAGATTATAGATCTCAGAACAGAGTTCAAATTAAGGGACTTTTACTATTCTGCATAGAGGGAATGTGTTGCCACATGAAAGGCTTAGCCGTGGTCCCTGGATGGGAGCCACCCCCCAGATTTCTTGAAAAATAACTGTTAAATATTATTATATCCAGCAGAGTAGATTCAACTTTTCAAAAATATTTTCCATGTCATTTAGAATCCTTGATGATTTGTGTATTATTTAGAGGTTATAAATAATTTTATAGAACAAGAATTATATTTTATTGTTTAAATTAAAATTTTATTTTAATTGTTAAAAATCTTTGAACTTCTTACTGTGTCTTCAAAATCCTGTTAGTTATATCTATGACTTATTTGATGCTGGGGTCTTTGTCACATTCATTATTGGTACAGTAGTCTTTCAATGAGCAATTTTGATTCTCTTTTGAAAATCTTATTCACAAAATAATTTCCATAAAGATATGATAAATAAGCAGCAATTACTTGTACATTTTATCTTCATAGTATAAACCTTGGCATAGTGCAAAATGCTCTGATCTCAAGAAATGCTCTTGATGTACACAAAAATTTAAGGATGAAAAATGTTGTCTGTATATGCTGTTAAAAATTATTCTCTGCTGTTATGTTTCATGCTGTAGAAACAAACCCTGAAGAGTACTGATAAACTGCCTTAAGGCAATTATGCTTTTAGGCCATATATCCTAATGCATTTCTAATATAAAGTCATATGTTCTTTTTGTTTTATAAGAAAACTGTCCTGGTGTCTGCAAGCTAAGAGTTTAAAAGAACTATATGAAAGGGTTAATCGGGTGAGGCCTTTTGGAAGAGCTAACTTTTATACTAGATTTGTAAGTAATTAATAAAATAGAACAGTCCTCAAGACACAAAAAATATAGGAAAATGGATACAAGAATTTAAAACACGAGGATGTTAAGGAGGAGGAACACTGGGTAAATGATATATAAGAAATTAAGAAAGATGGAGGAGGAAGTGAGTAAAAATGCAAGGTCTTGAGTTTAGGACTGAGGCGTTTAAATTAGATTCATGGGCGATGTAAAATGATATATTTTCAGATATTTTTGTGTATCAGATGTGGGAAAAACAAATGAAAGACAAATTTCATAATTTTGTGTGAGCTATGAATAAGAGTATCAGAGATTTGTTTTGTAAATTTCATTTTAAACTCCCTCTATTTGGTACTAATATACAGTGATAAATAACAGAGAATTCCTTCTTTGACTCAGTTTGTTATTAGTCTTAGGAAGGAGTCTGGAATACATATACTACAAAAATACGTACTACAATAACAAAAATAGATCAAAAATACTTCTGATTGAGGAAGTAAAGATTATTTAATGTAGGTGACTTTTAATTTGGACCTTCAAAGGTTAGTATCATTCCAGTAAGCACAAGAAGAAAGTTATTCAAGGTGGAAAGGCCAGGGCTTCCCAAGGATAGAGACAGGACTGTTGGTCAGGAAATGAAGGAATATGCAAAGTACTGAGCAGTGTTTTAAGCCCCTTGTAAAATCACCGTCTCTTTAAATTTACATGTAGATCAGCTCTGAGTAAATAAGAAGGCCTGATTAAATGTGCCAATGATTTTTTCCTACTTGTTTCTTATGTGAGAATTATGATGTGATTGAATAGAATCACAATTCTATTCATAGCTGATAGAACTGTGGGGTAGAATGCCAAAAAGCTAGGGGGGCTGGCATCATAATATCTTCTACATATATGCAATCAGAAATTTATTCAGTGCCTTCACCGACATCTTCTAATTCCATTTTCTCAAAACTTTATAAATTAGCGAGAGAAGGTATTCTGTTCCTTCATGACAATTTAGATTTACAAACAATTGCCAAGTTTACTTAATTGATAAGTGGTGAAAGGGATTTGTACCTTCTGCTGTCAAGTTTAGTCTATGACACACATGCAAAATGACAGAGATGTAACTATTGTAACAGATTAATACTATGAGAGGAGAATCAACAAAGAAAGCAGTAAAGAATTTACCTGAAAATCTTTAATTTCCTGGCAAGGGAGGCTTATAGTTCTTGATTTTTAAGAGACAGCATTCCTCTGTTAGTTGACAGGCTATAAAGAAGCCAACTGGTGAGATATACTATTAAACTGCTATATCTTAATTTGAAATCTGTTGGTCTGGTCATGCCCCATTTCCTTGTTATTTGAATGGACAATGGTAAACCTATCTTCTGTAACAAATAGAAATGAATGAGCTCTTATTAAGGGCATCCATATTCTATCAAGTTCATGTTTACTCATAATTTTATTACAAGGACAAAGGAGAGAGAAGGATCCCTTAAGGAATTACTGTAGAATGTTTAGAAAAACAAACACCCCCTCAATACAGCATTACTATCTTCCCTTATACACTCCTTAAAAAAAAATAACAAGAAATTTCAAGTGTTTTACTGATAGCACCATCAATCTTCACAGTGTTCCTGTAAGTGACATAGATGGTAAGAATTACTATTAAGAAAAAATTTAAGATGTTTATTTGTTGCAAGAAAAAGACACATGAAGACAGAAGACTTGTATTAAGGATACTTTAGTTTGAAATATTACACATAATAACAGGGAAATAAAGAATTATTCAAGGGAGAAAAAATTCAATGTAACTAATCTTTTAAAATATGGAATGTTTTTTCATAATAAATAAAAATAGAAAATACATCATAGTGAAGAGTAAAAATAGAAAAATTTATGACATTTCTGCTAAATTCAATACACGTTTATTGAGTGCCTAATGAATTTAAACTTTAATCATTTTCTGTTTCCATGTTGTTTCTTAAGTGCTGAGTATTAAAAATATTTTTAAAATGCTGAAGGCATCTCTTGATAATATAAGCAGTATATGAGAATGAGCTTTAATAATGATTCTAGTTGTGGGTGGTTGTGAGGAAGGACACACAATAAAAATCCTTAGTAGGACCTTTGCTGAAGTGTAGAATACATTATAAAAGGGCAAATAAATATAGGTATAACCTCTGTCTTTAAGCACAGAGTATGGAAAAGTGTTGAAGGATAATGATTAGCTGTTCATCCTCACTATGGGCAAAATAAAAGGAAAAAAGCTATAAGAAATTTGTAGTTGATAATTAGTAGGATTTCTCAACAATGATCGTTGCCTAATGCAGTGGTAGACTGGGCTATTTGTGCAGGTTGTAGAACATTTTTAGACAAGAAGAGAGGTGAATATATACATGTATGTGACTATTAATATCCCTAGCCTGAGTGTGTCAGTGTATAGATATTTTAAGACTGTGTTTTTGAGAGATTGCTTAATTCTTTTTGTATAATATGGGGGTGGGGAGGAAGTTCAAGGATGGATTGCTGATGTTTTCAGTTTATTTCTTAAATCTTTCTGACTATATAAATCTAGGAAAATGTTTTCATGTTAAAATTTGCTATTCTTAGCAATCAAAATTGTGTCCAAAGCAATTAAGTGAAGATGGAAAGATAAGTTGCTCAATGTGTATATGTACACGTTGTGAGATGTCTCCAAATTTTAAGGAAGGCTAAGACATCTTTTGTCTATGGCAGAAGTCCAAAGCCATTCAAGCCTACTGGTTCCTGACTGACGGAACAAAAAGGTCTCCAACTGATAGTGACTTATCTTTCAGAAGTATATGTCTCTTCCAGGAGCACATGGATTTTAAAAGAGAATTTGGTGAATAAGGCAATACTTAAAGATAGGGGTTCTAAGATTTCGAGAGTGGAACCAGAAGGCATGAGGAAGACGTAATAATAGCAGATGTACTTTCAACCATACCATATAGGAGATCACCCATAATAAAGGCAGATATAGGAACAAAAGATAGTAAAATAGTAAATTGATAAAGTGACCAAGAGGAAATGACTGGAAAGAGTGAAAGAAATCACAAAAGGATAAGAAAGCTGAGCAGAGAGAGAGAATCTGGTTATGAGTGAGGCATGAAGATGGAGAATGAATAAAAAAGAGATAGAACCCTCCAAACTATGTTCTGGTTCTAAAGTAGCCAAAGGAAGTGTCTACATGTTGCTAAACACCCAATGAATTTAGTGTAAAAATTAAAATTGTTGTTTTGCATTTTGCAGACTTAGTCTTAGCTGCTTTATTTTTTTATAAAAGTATTTTTATCTCCCCTTCTCTCATCTCTTTTTCCCACTTCTCATTGTATTTATGTATAAATATATGTATGTATCCATCCATCCACCTATTATCTAAATATTTCAGTATATTTAATTTGATTCTTATATCAAATCCTTCAGGATGTAACAGATTAATGTTGATCGTAGTTGTCATAATATTACAAGCTTTTAAATGACTGGAATGTGAACCCAAAATTAGATCTGTGTTTCTCTAGTGTGGTTCAAACCTTGAACAAGTTACACTTTTATTAAAATATAGCTTTATTGATCAAGAATCTTTGGAGATGATTAGGGTAATTATCTGTATGTTAACCTCTGTATTTTAAACGAGTTTACATGATGAGTTTTCTGCACTTTAACATTTGATAAGTATTACTATAGAGTAAATAAATAGAAACCTAGAAATGGTAAACTTTTCTGATTTTGGATATACAGGCTTTTTGGAATACTGATATGAGTGAGTGCTGAGGCCAGAAAATGAAGCTGGGTGGCATTGGAGGTGGACTTCTGAAGAATGCTCTCAGAAGGCTAACAATGAGTTAAGGTGAATGTGTAACTGTTTTCTACATTTTTCTTACTGCTATAAAAATAACTGAAATGCAGAATGCTTAACTTCATTCAGCTGTACGCCTTGTAAGAATGTCAATAAAAAATTAAAAATTCTATTCCTATTCTTATATTTTTCTAGTTTCCCTGGCTGTCTCTCATCACCCTGCCTAACCCTTTCTCTACAAAATTTTTCTCCTTGAAATTTGAGCTCTACTTTTATTACTTTTTCTATTATGCAAAAAGTAACTTTAAAAAATTGTATAAAAGGTTTATGCATTTATGTTACAGTTTTGACAATTTTGGAAAAAAGTGGAATTAATTATTACTACCTCAATGAGATTACTTTATTAATACTTCAAAGATAATTTTTATGTGATTCACACTGGAGACAAGTTCATTGATTTCTATAACAGAACATAATTATTTTTGGGAAAACACTTAAATTTGCCTGAAAAAAAGGCTGTTTTTCACCTAAACCTTTAAAATGGCTGGAATTTATTACATTTTAAAAGTTTAGTGTCTGACCAGGTGATACAGAAATGGCCAACCATTTCTTCCATAAGTTTATGAGTAAATGAAGAGGTTATTTTTGATAAGCACTATAACCTTCTCTTGCATTCAATTGATTAGATTTTTCCTTTCTTTAATTCCTTTAAAGTGATGTGTAAAAACAAACTACTGAGGACTAAATTATTTCTATTCAGAATGATTTTATTTGTTCATAACTATTCTAGGTGAAAGTGAAAAAGTTCAAGAATATACGGAGCTTGCTGCAATATGACATGAGTGTGGTATTTTAGCTATCTAGTACAATACAAGGTTATTACTTTGGAAGAAAAATTTCATATCCTTATAGGTCCCCATGATAGTCTTTTACACCAGTGAAAGAACATAGAACATTAGCTCAGCCTCTTGGTTTGTAATCTGTGAAGTTTTGAGTATATTATTAGAGTTTTAAAAACAATGAAACATGAATTATAAAGAAACCATATGAATTGTGATTAAATGCAAAAATTAATTCATTTGGGGGAAGTATATTGGCTCAATCCTATAAGCTAATTGTCCAAATCTTATTAAGATCAAATATATTTCCATCACAGATTTCTTTATTTCTACTGACTTAGAATAGTTTCACACTGATAAAAATTTTAAAAAGAGAATTAAAATAATTAGTAGAATACTTCATGTGAGAAAGTGATTCTCCTTAAATATTAGTTTTAATGAGACTAAAAAAGTTCTTTTTGGGGGCCGGATGCAGTGGCTCACGCCTGTAATCCTAGCACTTTGGGAGGCCGAGGCGGGTGTATCTTGAGGTCCAGAGATCAAGACCATCCAGGCAACATGGTGAAACCCCGTCTCTACTAAAATCACAAAAAGTAGCTGGGTGTGGTATTATGTGCCTGTATTTCTAGCTACTTGGGAGGCTGAGGTAGGAAAATCAGGAGGTGGAGGTCACAGTGAGCCAAGATCACCCAACTGCATTCCAGCCTGGGCGACAGAGAGAGACTCTGTCTCAGAAAAAAAAAAAAAGGTTCTTTTGGGTTAACTCTGAGCCAGTCTTCCCTAGTCCACCTACAGTAGTGAACCAAATTTAGTACCTAATGCAAATACACACACACACACACACACACACACACACACACACACACGTATTTTGAAAAAAAAGAAAGGAAGCCTCTGTAAGGGATAGTGGACAGAGAATTAGAAGAAAGCTGACTTTGTAGTTACTGGACAGTTACCTATGCTCCCTAGTTCCCCTGTCTCCAGGCTGTGAGACAGATTACTCACAAGTTCCAGGAGCTCTCCTGCACAGCGGGGATGGAGCTAACAGGATTTCACAGATCTCCCGAGAACCATTGCATGATTGTTTCTTGCCACCAGGGTTCATCCCTGTGCTTCTATCATTCTCTTGTCTACTTTAGCTTATTAATATGGGGTGTTCTCACTATTGCAACTTCCAAAGATTTTATGTAAGATATAGGGCTTAATTCTCTCTCCCTCCCTCTCTCTCTCTTTTTTTTTTTTTTTTAATGTAAAAGGATGTTAAATTGGAGGTTTTAAAAGAGACACCAATACATCAAATAATAATGTTAGTCATGAAACAGATGATATTGTAGGAATTTAAGCAAGACCAGCCTGGGCAACAAAGTGAGACCCCCATCTCTACAAAAAAGTAAAAATAGATAAAGTAGATTTTTAAAAATTGCAAAATATCTCTCTTCCTGTGGGATATGTCTTCGTTCATTTTACGCAAGAAAGGAAGATTCAGGGAGCTTAATTTGGATATCTGCTGACAAATGGGGCTGAAGGGGACATTGGGCTCAGACTACACCTCTACAGGCTGTGAAGGCCAAATCGAAGCAAATGTTATCTCAGACCAGAGCTCAGCAGGATCAAGGGAGCTTAAGTAGGACTCCTCCTGATGCTCCCTAATAGGGTAATCTATGGGGCATTCAAAAGAAGGTAGAAGTGACTGAAAAATTAATAGAGGCTTAGGAAGGTGTAAAAACCACTGGGAAGGAGTGAATTTGTTTGGGTGAAGGAGCTGCATGTGAGAGTCCACACTAATGCTGGACATCTCTGAAGAACCCCAAAATTCACTGCATCAGATAAAGCCAGCTGCGAATATCTGCTGAACCAAGACTGTGTGAAGTCAATTTAGGGCTGTGTAATCAACAAGCACTGAGGAAACTGTGGAACCTGACTGAGTTTTTGCCAAAAGAAGAGGAAAAACTACCCCCAGATAATACGTTTAGAGGGCATTCAAGGCAAAAATCATAATGTGTTCTGATTATATCCCATGAATTCTACTTGGTAAGATACCATGTGCATAAGTCTTAAGACCTCCTATAACTTAGAGGTTAATTATTATTGGCTCAATTGGTGTAATCTCATAAGGAAACAATGTTTAGTAAAATTGGAAATGGAAGGTCTTAATTTTTTAATCAGTACATTTCTTTATCTACTTCATGCAATAAGGTATTACATTAAACCTTTATTTATTACATTTATTAAACATAAATACTTATAGTATGACTTTTTTCAAGATTAGATAATCACAAATCACTGGGATGTAGTCACACAGAACATTCTTGTTTAATTATGCATAATCAAGTTTTTCTTTGTTTTATTATAGTGCGGTTTAATATCTCATTTTAGATACTTATAAGAAGAATTTTTTCTAACCTTCCCAGAGCCTCGACTACAGATAGTTGTTTGTAACTACTCCACCTTGCTCTATTTTCAATCTTGTGGATTCTGTTGCAATGTTCAGAAACACATATTATGGATGCTACTAATATCATTCTCTTTTATATTGTCATCTTTCTTAGGCTTCTTTATGTCCCTCATTCTTATGGTGGACATTGGTGTCCCTCATTCACGTGGCGTTTTGTTTTTGTTTTTGTTTTATATATGAATTCTCCAAAGTTTATTTTTAAATTTTTGTCATGGATATATAGTTCATGCTCCACCCAAGTCCTCTTTAACTCCCAGTGCACCCAATGCAACAGCTGCTGTTGATGTTTGCTGCCAGTGTGTCACAACTGAGCAAATATTCTCTAAATATTTGTCTGCATAAGGAGCCAGCTCACCTGGGAGCCATGACCTGCTTCCTTCCCAATGCAGCCTGCAGCTAACATTTCCCTGATGAGAGAGGGGCTCTAAAAGGCTGGCCCACTTGCTTATGGTGGGGCCAACTCTGTAATATCTTACTGATTCAGAGATCCTCAGGAAGCTAGGCTTTGTCTAAGACCACATACTTGCGTAGCTTTTTTTCTGCATTACCTTTTCCTCACTCCTGTTCCTCACTCCCCATCTCCTCACCACTTCTTCAATAAATAACTTGAACAAGAATTTCCATCTCAGACACTGTTTTTAGGGAACCCAACATAAGATAGTCATTTGATCTCTCCTTAAAACTCTCTCTAGGCAATCCCATGCTTCAACAAAAGCTAACATGCTGACTTTCAAACTCTGCAGATCACATTGTCTCCAGTGAAGGGTCTCCAGGTTCTTGGAGTCTTGAACAAAAATTGGACAAAACACACAAACAAAGCAAGGAAGGAATGAAGAGATTTATTGAAAATGAAAGTACACTCCACTGTGTGGGAGAGGGCCCTAGTGTAGGGGCTCAAGGACCCTGTTGCAGAATTTTTGGGAAGTTAAATACCCCCTAGAGGATTCCATTGGTTACTGGGGTATGCCTTACGTAAATGAAGAGATTGAAGTAAAGTTACAAAGTTATTCCCCTGCGGAGAGGATATTTTTCTGTCATAGCTGAAGTGTGAATTGCCCTTATGTTCCCTGCCTCCAGACCCTATTTGTCTGCCTCAATATGTCTTATCTAAATTTCAGACTGAGAGGTACATTTGTCTACTTTTTGAGGATTTTTCAAATTTGGAACTGCCTCCTATCTCTGGACAAGGCTGCATTTTGATTCTTTTAATTGTATTGATTTAGAAATTTCAGAATCATAAATAATTATCAAATTCAATAGTTTTATGAATATATAACATCCTATGGATATATAAAGATTGCGGACGGTGGCATAGATGACAAAATTGGATTGTATGTAGCTCCTGTTGTGGTAGCTTTAACTCTATTTACCTGTCAATGTTCAAGAAAATAAAAGTGGTGCTTTTATAGGGAATACTGTGATTCCATTCAAATGTAAACAGGCAGAAATGAGAAGTCAGAGCTAAATTCTGGTGTACATACCTCTATTACTGTACCTACTGCATTTCAATTGTTTGTTTTCTTGTTTACATGTTCTCTACCCCTTAAGGACATTAACTGTATTTTTTTCATCTTTTCTTGATGAAATCATAGGTACTCAATACATATTGGTTTTTAAATGAATGTAAAAATAGAGAAAATAAGGCAGAAAATAGAGTAAGAATTCATATGGTAGAGAAGAAGCTTTGACCATCAGTTCTTGATTTATTGCCTTTCACTCTGCATGCACCCTTCAATATATTCTCTGTGATGAACAAT